CTGTTCAGGTGCAGGTGCTGTGCCAGCGCCTTTCCAGCACCGTGGCAGCACCGTGTTAGCGCAGTGTCGAAACCTAAGCATAAGCGCTTTGTATGGATCAGCTGACGTTCCTGCACGGCGCTAGCACGGTATTTGGCTGAAGTGGTCTTTCAGAAATTCTACTATTCCCCTTAGTGATCACAATGGTTTGGAGCAAGACCGTTAGGTTACCAATACCTGTTTTGCTCGTTGATCACCACCAATCAACTCGGCGCTTTCCTCTGGCAGTTCGACTCTTGGGAAAACAGGTTCAGAGGCTGGCTAAAAAGAAATACGTGCAAGAATTGTAAAGCAATAAAATCAAACTTACCGGATTAGATAGATGATCAGGAATGAACGAGCCGTCCTGTTCGAAAACAGCGGAAAGCTTGTCCTGATCGAATGGCTCAGCTGTAAATCAAACAAATTGATTTCTTGACAGATAGAGAATCTCACCTCCAAACTTGATTGCAGGTTCTCAAGATTTATGAGGCGTTTGAAAAATCGAAAATACTGACATCCATCCGTAGATGGCTCACCATCTTCATCAACTGTTAATGTAGTTCGCTCTGTTGCAATTGTTGTAGTTGTTGTTGCCACTGTGCTTGTTGTTGTTGTTGCTGGTGTTGTTGTAGTTGTTGCTGTTGTTGTTGTTGTAGCAGGTAGCTCAGAGGTCACTGGCTGCTCAGAGGTCGTCGGTTCTGTGGCTAAAGTATCTTTTTTGAGAAAGTATCAAATCCTTCGCCAAAGTTCATGAAAATCATTTGAGATGCCTCAATCTCCGAAAACTTTTTCTGGGGTTTTGCAAATTTTCGCAAGCTCCTGAGCCCCTATGCACGACATCGACAAGGAACATGTCCTGTTCATCGAATGATGCGATATCGGCAAGGACGCAAACAGAGCAAAAAGTACGGTAAATTGCCTTTCATGTAAACTTTTCGGGTTCTAAATGCAGTTGGCACAAACCGTAGGCAATTACCAAGTGATGTGCAAAGTTGCAAAAAAT